TGATGTTGGACGAGAAGGACGTCTTGCAATCTATGTTCCAGTTCATCCCAAACATGTTCGATGGGGTTGAGATCAGGGTTCTATGCGGGCCAGTCAAGTTCTTCCAAACTAAACTCATCTAACCATGTCTTTATGGACCTTGCCGGAATAGAAAATAGCCTTCCCCAAACTATTCCCACAAAGTTGGAAGCATAGCTTTGTCCAAAATGTCTTGGTATGCTGAAGCATTAAGATTTCCCTTCAGTGGAAGTAAAGTGCCTAGCCTTGAAAAACAGTCCCATACCACTATCCACTCCACCAAACTTTACAATTGGCACAATACATTCAGGCAGGTAACGTTCTCTTGGCATCTGCCAAACCCAGACTTGCCCATCAGACGGCCAAACAGAGAAGCGTGATTCGTCACTCCACAGAACAAGTTTCCACTGCTCCAGAGTCCAGTGGTGGTGTGCTTTACACCAATCCATCTAAAGCTTGCATTTGTACTTGGTGATGTGAGGCTTGCATGCAGCTGTTTGGCCATGGAAACCTATTCCATGAAGCTCCTGCCACACAGTTTTTGTGCTCATATTAATGCCAGTGGAAGTTTGGAACTCTTCAGCTATGGAATCAGCAGAGCATTGGCGTCCTTTATGCATCATGCGCCTATACGCTTCCACTTTTCAATAATACCATTTACAGTTGATTGTGGGATGAAAAACTGACTTATTACAAAAGTGGTATCCTATCACAGTACGACACTTGAATTCCCTGAGCTCTTCAGAATAAGGCACTAAACTTCAGAATTTTTTTCCACAAAAGTTTGTAAATGCAGGCTGCATGGCTAGGTGCTTTATTTTAGACACCTGTGGCAATGGGTCTGATTGAAACACTTTAATTCAATAATTAAGAGGTGTGTCCCAATTTGTTTGTTCATATAGTGTATATATATATATTGTATATACACCACAGTTATTTTAGTATTATTTATTTGTTATTTATTTGTCTTTTTTTAATATTTAGATTTTATTTAAATTTTGGGGGCCTTTGAGTCCCAAAGGTTGAGATTCACTGCTCTATACTGATGACGCTGTCTCTTTGGTAAAGAAGTTTAAAAATAAAAGTTTGGTGTGGTGGAAATTATGCCACAAATTAGCCACAAAAAAATAACAAATCTTTTTCACACAAAAATATAGAAATAAGTTATGTTTATTTGTTTAAATGTTCATAGTTGTTATAATTCATTAGTTGTTATAATGCATTTAATAATTCATTTTTATGATGTATTTTCATAGTTTCAGTGCATGAAGTTTAACGTTAAAGGGTACAATGGCATGTCTTATTCTATTTGTGGGAGTTTACTGTAATGGTACCTCACCTGAGATCTGTGCCTTGGTCCAATCCCGAAACAAAGCGGACAACATTCTGGCAGAAGCCGTAACTCATAAAGAGCACAGCGTTTTCAGCAATGTTGGCTATGAGGGCAGGTGTGGTGCCCTGATAGAGCCCTCGCAGTCCAACCTGTTTGTATACTGAGACGAAGCAGTGGACAAAGCCTCTGTACAAGCCAGGGAAAGTCTGCATTTTCACCTTGGCTGTATCGAAGGGCTGCCCGCTTAACACACACGCAATCCCACCTTACAAAGACAGAAGAGAGGAAACAGTGCAGAACATGCCCGTATGTTTTTAAATAACTGATCTTTCTTGTTTCTTACTGTAACAAAATTCCCTTCATAATGCAAAATTTGTGTAAATCAGACAGGTGGAAAATACAGCACATTGTATTATAGCAGCTTGTCAAAATTACTCTGACAAAAATGGTGATTTTTAAATATTATATATATATATATATATATATATATATATATATATACAGGTGCATCTC